ATCGATTATCACCTGTACTTGCCGCGAATTTGGTAGCTAGCATGAAAAGGCGTACAGCTGCACTTATAGAGTCAGATAGTGACTACACAATGTATTAATTTTAGTTAGTTGGTTATGTATTTTTTAAATAAAAAAAAAATTTTGAATCTACTTACTTGTAGCCAGAGTTAGAGGCGGTCGGATACTTATGACCGCTACTGTAATAAACACATTTAACATTTTGCAAACATAAAACTTATAATTTATTCTTGTTAACTAAATAAACTCTCTAATATACAGTGTGTTAAATTGATTTGGATTTAAGTCATAGCTATTATCTCTCTGACTTCAAATCATAGTTAACTTATTTGACGAAAAGAGTAACGTTAACATTGGATAAAACCTTAAAATACTTTGAAAGATTTTTATGTTTGTTCGTTACCATTAAAAGTTAGTATAAAAACAAAAAGGATCACAAAAAAAAGATTATCAAATATGAATTTGATCAAATGATTGGTCGATTTCGGCCAAAAATCAGCCAAAATCATGGCCAAAAGATAATTGGCTGCAACCAATTGCCAATGAATTTTGGTCACTAATTTTAGCTATTGATATTGGCCAATCGGTTAATTTATATGCAATGGCCAAGTAATACAATTGGCCGCGACTAATACTAATACTATTTATAGCTAATTAGTATATATTAAAAATTGACTAATATTTAACTTATCTTTTATAGCTGATTAATATTCAATTAAAATAATTGTATCATTTTAAAGGTATAATAGTATTATTATTCTTTAAATGTAATGTATTTATCATATCTAAAGAATGATGTTACTATTATATCTTAGGTATAATACATTGTTAAAACCTTTGATTTAGTGAATATACTGCTACTAGCATATGATTTTCATATAATCATAATATTACAAACATGCAATGTCTTTTTCTTTTAGTCAGCTAACTATATTTAATTACTTTATATTAGTTATATAGATACAATAAAGAGCTTAGATTAGTTTATTTTGTATTTTTTTTTCATTTTTTAAATTTTTATTTTGTAATTATTTAATATTATAAATCTTAAAAATTGAATAAATAAAGTCATTTTATATTGGCTATACAGAAGCGATAGGATAATCATTTTTATTATTTTTTTTTACTTTTAAAATGGCATTTTCAAATATGCTTATTATTTCAAAATAAACTTATTTTTTGTTATTTAAATTACTTAATATATTCAAATAAAAATTTATTATTCAGAATGTGATTTATTATTAATATATTATATAAAAATATAAAATTCTTATTTAGAAGGCCTAAAAATCTTAATATCATAATACTAATATATCTTGAACATAAAATATCAAAATTTTGATATTTAATTATACCTAATAAAAATAAATATTTAGTCTTTATTTGAAATATTTTTTTTCATTATTTTGTATATAAATAAAAATGGTTACCAAAATTGATTTCAGCATGCATATCTTCAACCATATATTTCAATACATATTATATCATAACTTCTATTAAATAAATTATTGAATATTTAAATATTTAATTTTGATAGTTATTATAAAGAATGTATTTTAAATAAATATTATATAATAAAATAAAGGATAAAATAAATATGAAATTAAAATGTCTTTTAAAATATGTTAAATTATGCAAAGATCATAAATTAAAATATTTTATATAAAATAAATGCAAATAAAATGAATCATTTTAATTTAATAAAATTTTTGATGCTATGTCTTTACTAGATCTGCTCAGAACTTTACAATCTTTTGTAATACTATTAAGTTTCTTAATAGCTTTAGTGTTATATTTAATATAATATATTTTAAATGCCTCTCTAACAAATAATATAAGCTTTCCCATAATCCTATATTTACTGAGCTTAATTTTGTTTGTATCTTTTAAATACCTTTTAAAATTTTTTCAACAACTTCTTTGGGTAATAATTCTTCAATTTCTGCTTCTATTAATACAGTTATTAGTTATTTTCTAATTTGTTTATCTTTAAATTTGATTATTCTTGTATAAATCTTTTTATTGAGTTTACTATAAAAATTTGTCAGAACCCTTTTGAAATAACAAATGACCTCTTCAGCATTATTGCTATAAAGATCATAATTAAAGATTTTTGTAATGAATTTTTCAATAATTTTGTTTAATGGTATCCTATGATGGAGAAAAAGATATCTTATCTCTTCATGCTAAAGCTGAGCCAAATTTTTTTCTTCTTTTAGCATAATTGTAGCAGGTTTAATCATCAGAAAGGAGGTGAATATGTTGGCAAATGGTAAATCTAGTGAGGTATATACTGAAGTTAAAGGAGGATTTCATCCACTGCTGAAGAAAGTGAAGATGATCCCGTAATAGACGATAATGAATGATAAATTTTTGGGCGATTTGGGGTGGAAACAGGTCAATTTTAATAATTATTTTTTACGTTTTTTCAGGTGAATTGGGGAATAGGTCAATTTTTATTATTATCTTTACATTTTTTTTGAAAGATTTGAGGAACAGGTCAATTTTTTATTATTATCTTTACGATTTTTTAGGTGATTTAGGAAACGGTCAATTTTTATTATTATCTTTATATTTTTTTCAGGCAATTTGAGAAATGGGTCAATTTTTATTATTATCTTTACATATTTTTTAGGCAATTTGAAAAACAGGTCAATTTTTTATTTTTATCTTTACATTTTTTTTCGGGCGATTTAGTGAATAGGTCAATTTTAATAATTATCTTTACGTTTTTTTTCAGACGATTTGGGTGGGAACGGGTCAATTTTAATAATTATCTTTATGTTTTTTTTGGACAATTTGGGTGGGAATGGGTCAATTTTAATAATTATCTTTACATTTTTTCAGGTGATTTGGATCGATTTTTATTATTATCTTTATGTTTTTTTTAACTGTAATGATCACTGATACAATGTACTTAATGAGAACTTAGTAATTTTGTGTAGTTCGTTTACATTTCGTGTTCCATTATTCCACAACGACTTAACTACCTCACGTCGTTCTTTAATAGAAATTTTGTGTGGCATTATTACATCATATCGGTCATGAGGCACTCTTGTGTTCAGTTTTTTATGCATGTTGATCAGTGTAACATAGTAAACAACCAAACAAAAATTTGGTTTGTGTTGTCCAATCAGATGTGATGTAAATCATTGTTTTAATCACATGATCGCGACTGCCATTTTTTTCCGCCACTATTGTAATTAGTTAAATTAAATTTTATCTTTAAGAACATTATATTGAATAATTTAGTAAATTATTTAATTTTTATTAACTAACAATTTATTTATTTATAGCTTTATTTATATATAATATTTATATAAAAAATTTATATTAGATAAAATGATTAAAAAAACTTTATAAATTAAATACAATTAACTTTCTAAATAGATCATAATAAAAATTTAAAAATGTATATTTAAGAGGATGTGTATTTAAAAAAAAAATTTTTTATATAATTTCTATATGTTTAAAACTGAATAAAACATGCATTTAAAAAGAAAATATATAATATATGTATTTAGAAAGAGTTGACTGTATACAAAATGTACATTTATTGTATTAACCAAAAGATTATAAATTATACTTGATATATATGGGTCTAAAAATTAGAAATTTCAAGAGATCAGCAACTTGATACAAGAATTTAAAAAGTTTGAAATCTTATGAATATTCTAGAAAACAAGAGCAAGTTGAAATGATTAGATATTTACATAATATTAAAAGAAAACGAGATATGTAGTGTAAAGCTTATTGATATAATTTTTGTATAGAAGAATCAGTTATTAACACATTTGATAAACTTTTTAATTTCTGTTTAATTCAGCTTTAATCTCTAATTAAAAACAAATGATTTGCAAATTTACACAAACCATTATCAAGAAATTATAATAATAATTTAGACATTACTATGAATACAGATAATTTAATTGATTTGATAAATAGTGACGAGTTAATTTGAGATTAATATAGCAGTAATCTTAATGTTTACCATTTTATTGTATAACAATATTGAACGATGATTGATGCAAAATATTGTATAATATAAAATTATTGATCAAACAAACTCGGCATAATCCTATAGGGCCGTGCGATAATTCATAATATTTCAGGGATTAATTTTATTTTCTTCTTATGCTTTCTTTTGATTTTTTTAAGAGTTGAATCGGAACTTGAGAAATGCATTCCTTGGTTACAAAAATGTAATGTTATTTTTGTTTATTATAAACAAAAGTTTTTAAATCATGCCAAAAAGCCATCACCTTTTATTTATAATGATATAGAGCATTTCCGTGAAGTTTAACTACCCATTTCAACGTCCTCTTCAATTCCTCGAATATACAAAACATTATTACATCTGTAAAACAAAAAAAAAAGAATAATGAAGTTATATTATACAGAAATTAATAACAAATGTGATTAATAACGAATGATTTACCTGATTAATACTTCACCAAGAGCTCCAGTAGACTGACCTTCAACAAATTCTTCAGTATTTGCTAGCTATAAATAAAATTGAAAATAATTATGAATACAAGGTAAATTATATATTGTATCTCATAAATCTATAGTTTACCTGTAAGTTCATGTAAGAGTCTACAGAAACTAGAAAACCTTTATATTCCATACCCCATTTCAAGCGAACCATTACGGGTTTGCCTGTTAATTCTTGTAAAAACGGTTTTGGATTTACAGGTTGAAACTATAATATTATATTTGTTAGTCATTAGGAAAATCGCGTGACAATTTTTTTTAGTATTATTTGAACCAACTTACTGCCATGATAAAAGAACAACAAAATCACACGAAACAATAGTGATTGTAACTAATCTCGGTAGTCCAAATGCCGTAATTACTATGATTAAACCTCAAATAATATTCACAATTTTGTAGATTAATATGACTTGAGGTTTAAAATTTTTTGGTTTATACTTTTTTGCTATTTTGATGTGATCACCATTTAAAATTTGATTGGATTAGAGTGTCTAGAATTATGTTGTGTAAAATACCAATTTAATTTTGGCCGAAATTATCATAATTTAAAAAGAATTTATTTAATATACCGAAATTGTAAAAACTTTATTTATAAAACCAATCTATTATATTTAATTTTTATTCTTTAGATAATTGATATTTTCTATTAAAATATTTTTATAAATAGAAAAATTATGTTTAACATTTATATCTGAAACTGAAAGTCAAATATAATTTACAGCTGTTTTCATAAATCATTAGGTTGTAACTTATAAAAACAGCTATAATGTTATATTAGCTAATATTGATAATATTTTTCTATCCAATATTTTTTCTAAATCAAATTCTTCTCTGAATTAATTATTTCATTAAGATTATTATTAGAATATAATAAAATATTAATTCTTTTTATATAAGAATAAATATTTGAATTAAATATTAAATAGCTTCAAAAATATTAAAGTTAAATGATTCAAAATATGTTTTTCAATTTTATATAATATATTTTTAAATGCTATCTATAAATAGTTAATACTAACCTATTCTATTTATAATTTTAATTTCTTTTCTTTGATAATGATAGATATATTATTTAAGATTTTAATAATGTATATATTTCTTTTATGCATAAAATTACATATAGAACTATAGGTTACTTGTAAATTTTGAAAAAATTTTAAACAAATTACTAATTTAAAATAAACTTAATAAATAATATAAATTTATAAAATGAATAAATAATTATATTTTTTTTAAATAAAATCAATAAATATTTTTTAAATATTATTTTATATGTAATAATATTTAAGTAATTATATATCATAAATATTATTTTCTTTAAGAAAATAATGCTAGATATAAAAGATATTTTTAATTCAAAAAATAAAATTAAACTACAGTGTGAAACCTTTATATAGGAACTTAAAAAAATATTAATAAAATTTAATCTATTGATTAAATTTTGATCAAATAAAAAAAATTGATTTATATTTATAAAAATGAATCAATTTATAAAAAAAGTTTGTTTTTAATTTTATAAATTATATAAGCATTATGTAATATATATTAGTCAATTAGAAATTAGAATTAAAGATCATATGAAATAATTTATTTTATTTTATTTTATTTTTTATTATAAATTGTATCAGATATATGATAATAAAACTTATATTTTAGCTGCAAACTCTGATATTTTCTAATAATACCTTTTTTATAAATATTCATAAATCATCATAATTTTTATGCATATTTTTGAATTATTATTAAAGAAACTGAATTTAATATTTAGAAAAAATTTATTATAAATCTACTATGTGTAATTATAATATTTTTATATATTTCTTTTGCTGTACTCTAATATATCTTTATATAATTCAATTATAATAATATTTAAGTAAAATATATAAATTATAAAAGAATTATTTTTGTAAATTCGTTATCACATATTTTTTTTAATTTCAGTTTTTATAATTAATTTTAGATAAATTTAATTTAGTATAACTTTATTAATACTGAAGATATTAAAATTCTAATCTAAGATTCTTAAAGTACAAGTTATAGTTTATTTATTTTATAGATTAAATTTTCAATTTTATATATAATAAATTTTTTTTTGTATTTTAAATTTATTCTATTTTTACTATAGCAAAATTCCTATTATAGAAATTCTGCATTGTATAAATTTCATCTTATTTAATAAAAAGAAAAAATAAAGTAGATTTAATAGATAAATTTGAATTATTTTAAATTAAAAAAGGTAAAGTAAAAGATTTAATAGCATTTAAAATATTTAAAGTAAGATAATTAAGTTATTTACTTTTTATAAGTAAAAGAAATTTTAATATTTAATATTATATCATTTAAATTTTGATTTTCAATTTAAATTTCTTTAACTAAATTATAAATATAAATTAAATAATAATTAAGTTTTATTTAAATAAAATATTAGAAAGGATTTTAATATTTAAGTAATATTATTTAAAATAAATAAAATAATATTTTTTAAAAAGAATTAAATAATTATTAAAATTTTAATAATAAATTGAAATATTGAAATATTATTTATTATAATAAGATGATTAGTTATAATTAATTTTATAATTTTTAAAACTAAATAAAATATTTATAGCTACAATTTTACAAATTAGTTAATTTATCAATTGTAATTTCTTTCTAATTAATTTATTAATTGCTATTTTTTCAAATTATAATTATAAGTAAATTATTTTTTCTTTGTTAATTTGATTTTATAATAATACTACCTAAAATTTATTTATTATTAAAAAATATATTATTATTATTAAATAAAAATATTAAATTCTTTTTATTCTATATGATTTGTATAATATTATTACTAATTTTTATTTTATCTTATCTATCTAATAAAAGTTAAATAAATCTACAGATATTTAAATATTATAAATAATCATAGATAATGATTTTTTTATTATTTTTTGTAAATTTTAATAAAATATATTGCTGATCTATTTCTTTTAAATATGTATATAATTTATAAATGAAAATAGAAATGGTATTATTAATAATAATGATAAAGGTAAAGATAATTATAGTAGAAATAATTGTAATAATTATAATAAATGTAAAATTTCAAAACTTTAAAAATATGTCAAACATTCTCATTTTTTTATATCATTATCTAATTCTTATTTTTTTCTTCTTTCTTTATATTATAATTCTTGAATTTTTAATATATACTACTCTATTGCTATAAATAGCATTCTCATATTAATAAAAAATTTTAAAGATAAGCTTTTTTTCTATTTTATTAAACTCTTTTAATTTTTTTTTTATTCAATTGATAGTTTTATCTTTTAACTATTTATTAACAATTTTATTTCTAACTATTTTTTACTTTCAATAGTCTTTATTTTTCTGTAATAGTTTTAAGAAATATATAATATTCTTTTTTTTTAGATATTTTATTAACTTATTATTGATATTTTGTTTTATATGATATTAGTAAAGATTTTTTCATTAATTTATGAAGATTTTATTATAATCAAAAGGATTTTGTCAGATAAATGTATAATTTAAATTAATACTAAATTATCATAATTTCAGCCTTAATTATAAAAATAATATTGCTTTTATATGATTCAATTTGTTTTAAATATAGACTAATTATATAAAAATCAGATAAATTTAAATGCTTATAATTTTATAAAAATTTTTTTTTTAAAAATTTAATCAGTAATATATTTTGAAGAATAAAGTTATTAATTTAATTTCTTTAAAATTTATTTTTTATTTTTTAAAATTTTTGAATATTTTAAGTATTATTAAGATATAATAAATTATTAAGTTAATTCAAATATAATAGATATTTATAAGATTTTAAGAATATCTTAATGCTATAAACTTCAACAATTTTTCTAACTTAAATATTAAAATAACTAAAATTTGAACTTAATGATAATATATAAATTATTAAAAAAATGAAAAATATATATAATTTTAAATTTAATATGGTATAAGTAAACTATATTTTAATAATAAAATTATACTTAAGGTTTATTTAATTTAATTTAATGATAATTTTAAAAATAAATTAGTATAAGTATTATAATTAATCTTAGATAAATAATAACATTAAAAGAAAAAATAATTTTGTAAGTTTAACTGATTTCTTTATTAATAACTTGAAATCACATAAAAATTAATTTATAATTTAAGCAAAATATGATATATTTTATATAAAACTATTTATTTACTACAATTAATTATTTGTTAAATTATAAAAAATGAAAAATTTGTAAATAAAATATAATAAAAATATAATAAAAAATACTAAAAATAATATAAATAATATTATAATAATTATAATAAAAAATAAAAAATATTTAAATTAAAATAAATCTAATAAATCAGGTAAATCAAATAAATTCAATCTGATTTTTCTGATATAGTATGTTAATTTATTTTAATGATATATGATCTTCTTTAATTGATTTATAACACATAAAATTAAATCTAAAATCATTTTTTTAAAATTAATTTTTAATATTGATAATATAAATATAAATTTAAAATAATTATATAGCTTTAAATAAATAAAAAAAAATTTATTTATAAATTTGTAAGTTTAGATAATATTTTTTATATATAAAAAGTTTTTAAATTAAATATTATAGCATTAAATATATAAGTTTTTATATTAATTATTTCATTAGATTTAAAATTAGCAAATTTAGTATTAATATTTTATGATTTATTTAAATATTTGTGATAATTCAAAAAAATTATTTTTTATTTATTATTACAAACTAATTTTTTTTTAAAAGATTTTTTTTTTTAATTATAGATTTAATAAAGATTATCATATTTATCATATTTACAATTTGATTTAAGAAAATCAGACCCTAAAATGAAATGTGATCTGTTAAATGTTTTTTTATTTTGATATATTTCCATTTATAGAACAAGGATATAATTCGAAAACAAAAGAAAAAAATATTTTTCTTGGAGTTAGAACTGCTATATGCTAAAAAGTACATCTGTTATTGATCACTCGAAGTTGAAATTCCTTTAATTCCTTTTCCTTTTATTAAAAACAAAAATAATTAACTCCATTTGATTATAAAACATGAGATGGTAAATACAAAGAAATTTTGCATAATAAAGTTCTTTGTTTAAAACAAGGTAAAGTTAGATGTTACCATGCAAATTGTATATCATTATAAGAAAAGGAAAGAATTAATAGTTGAGGATCAACTTGGATGACAGGTTTTTTTCCTGCATGGAGTTTTTAATCCGAAAAAAAAATGGTCCGATTTGTAAGAAATTAGTAAAATCTTTTTTTGATTATAAAAATTTGACTCCGCCTTTTCCGATTCTAAAACTTTTTAGGAATTCACTTTCACACACAAAATAAAAAATTTTTTTTTTTCCCTGCTTTTTTTTTTTTCCGATACTTTTTGTTTTTCTTTTTAAATTTTAATTTTAGTTTCTCAAAAAGTAAAAGAAATTTAAAAAAATAAAAGAAATTATATAAATAACGTGTAATATACATAATTTTTTTTCTCTTTTTTTTTTTTTTTTTTTTTTGGAAAGGAAATTTGTCTGAAATATATCAAAAAAAAAAAAAAAAAAACTATTATTATATATATATTTTATTTAAAATGAGTTCAGCAAAAAGACCATATAAAGAAACGATGTCTTCATCCTCTTCCATTTCAAATACTACCACCGCTTCTGTAAATGATGATTTTGTGAAATTACAAATTGAACAAGATATACAAGATATGGATATCGAACAAAATATAAACCCAAAAGAATTAATCGAAGGAAACTTTAGAAGGAAAAAACCAAATAATGATAAGGATGATGATGATTTACTCGAATCAAATACTTTTATTTCAAATCCTTTTCCATCTTTTTTGAATGATATTTCATTTCAACCATTTCAATTATCATCAACATTATCACCACGAGCTTCCGATACTACGATTTCTTCTACTTCAAGATTTCACAAAGTCTCAGCGACTACTTTAAATGATGAAAATATTGAAACAGATTCAAATTGTACTTCACCAATTGATTTTTTTTTAAATAATAACAATATTAAAAATAATAACGACAAATTTTCATTAAAGCAAAGTCCAATCGATTTATTAACGCCATCATCAACAATTTCCATTTCAACGCCAGAGACAAATCAAACAAGAGATAGCGATATCACTTATGTCACTACAAATGTGAATCCATTTAATAATCCTTCCAACGAATATTTCTCACCGCCTATTGATTTTACTGTAGAATATATTCGTACAGAATTACGAGAATCTGATAGTAAAGGACCATTTAGTTCATTTTATCCACAAATCTATAATAACAACGGTCTGGTAGTTTATGAAGAACCATTTAATTATTTAATACAATTATTTGAATTTTGCAATAATAGTTCAACAAAATTAGCATCAAACGTAACTTCAGTATTAACTGGATTAGTTACATTATTAAATGTTCAATTAGATGGGTTTGATATACCATTTATTGAACATCATAAATGGAATGGTTCAAATTTTTACGGGTCTATTGATGTTGCAACTTTATTGGACCATTTAGATGAAGGTTTAGGTATATCATCTACAGAATATGTTTTTTATGATCGTGCCGATAATGGATCATCTTTTATAAGAACTGGTAGATCAGTTTTAAATTGTGATTTTCGTAAAACGTATGGTAAACCTAAATCCACTGCCAATACTCCTTCTCCACAGACTTTGTTAGATAATAATGAATTAAGGCATGCAGTATTGGATGCAGATGCTGAAAGAGAAACTCAACTTTTCTTGGAATTTTTAGCCGAAGATGATCAAGATAATGATATTGACCATGCAGATGAAAGTGACTCTTTTACTGAAATTTCAAGTAATGATGTAGACGACGATGATGACGATGATGGTTCTCAGATCCAGGGACCGGCTTCGACTCGTGTTTTACAACATACAACCGATACATTCGGCAATCCTTCGAGTACGACAAGAACAACTACTGCCGTTCGTTGTATATCAAAACCTTCTGCCGGTGGCATGGATAGCGAAACTGATGATGATTTGATTCACAGCGAGGAATCCGCTTTTGAAGAAATTGATGACGTCTCTGATATTGAAAGTGTTTTGACTGATTCAACTATCGAAGAAGATTGGCATAGTGTCTCGAGACATAATTCCAAGTAATTTTGTACATAATTTTTTTTACATATATATATAAATATCTTTTTTTTATTGTTCTTGATACCGAAAGTAAATTAAAATTTATATAAAATACATTAAAAAAAAAAAAAAAAAAAAAAAAAAAAACTTATTATAAGGACTTAAACTTGATTATAAATAATAATTAGTCTCGTTTATTTGTTAAAAAACATTTATGATAATGAAGAATAGCTTAATAATACATTAGACACTTTAATAACTTTACCTTGAACTTATACCGATTTCCTTTTTAAAAGGAAGATTTCTGCATAAGGTCAGGATATTTAGATCCTATAGCAATTACAACTTCTTCGACGTGATGACAAACGTTTTGAATAGCTAAATCCCATTTAGCTCCCAGCACGCCACAAATAGATTTACCACCACTTCCGTAACTACTTTCAAAGAATATTAACCTTTCAATTTGATCAATTGTACCCTGCATACGACCTTGTTCAATCATTGAACTAGCAATTTGTTCAGCTTGATCAGGAGAAATGGCCAACAAAGAACCAAGCTCTTCAAATGTTATATTATTATAAATCATTGAAGCTGATAAAAGATTATGTTCGATAACAGCTCTATCAAGTACTGTTGTACCATCTGGCAATCTTGCCTTTTGATGATCTTTTAGGGTTTCTGCGAATCCTTTAACTTCATTTGGCCTTAAAACGCGATCAAGGTACATTTTCTCCAAAATTGAAAAATGCGGTAAACGTTGGACACGTTCATCCTTATAAAGTGTTGCCAACATACGTGAACGTTGTGGTCCTGCTCCTGCCAACACTGCACAAGTTATAGCTGCATTCCTTTTAATAAAAATAATTGTAAACTTATTATTATTATTATTATTATTATTATTATTATTGTTATTTTGTAAAATAAATTCATTTGTTCAAGTGAATACTCACAGACAATTTGTGCGGTCATCAGCCGCTAACTCTGAAACATAACTCAATTCGTGATATTTTGAACTAGCTTCCAAGAATTTTCTCTTGAAATCAAATATTTTTGCCTGCGATAATTTAAATGTAAGATTAATCACTTGATCTTTACAGCTAGGAACTAGTAACGCAGCACGACTGAGATATGTTTCTGCTGATACTGCTTCGTCTTCTTCCAAAAGAAGTTGAACGATCTTGATATAAATCTTTAATTTATATTCTTCCGGTATAGTTCTTTTAAAAAATTAATTTATTAATCAAATAGTAAATTAGAAAAAAAAGAAAAATCTTTTGTATTGAATGAATTATACCTATGTCCAGAGTCTAATGGAATTCCTTGTAACACTTTAGCTGCCTCAAGCCAATCTTCCTCATTTTCATAGATTTCTGCCAATTTCTCACGAAGGGTTGAAATCTAGAATGATAAAAACGCGAAAATAAGATCAATTTAAAATAATTAAAAATTAAAACCATAACCAAACACCTTACCTGTTCTTCGAAACTAACAACTCTAGGTTGTACTTTACTTAAAGCAAAATGAAGAACACGTTTCTTAATCTCTGAATTACTAATTTTGTCAACACCTTGTACAAAGTCACTTAATACTTGACGAGAAATAACCAAGCCAACTTGTTCTTGTACGATATGATCAACAAAAGCTTCTAAACTATCCGCAAGTATTGGTTCATTTGTTGAAGTTAAAATGGTTTCAAGCAAAGAACGATATTCTGTGGTTTTGTCCTTTTGTGAAGGAATTGCCGCAATAATTCGAAGTCTTTCATTAATATCAGACATTATATTATCGTGAATGTTTTCTTGGTTAGAAGGTTAAAATTTTTTTATACAATAAAATTGATTCAGATTTAGAGCTCCAAACAAGGTCGGGTCGGATCGGGTTAATCAAATTACCCGACCTGAGGGGTCGTTTCTGGTTTACCCGACCCGATCCGACCCAAAAAGTAAATATATAAGTAATTAATAGAATAAGATAATAAACAATATTATAATTTTTTATTATAAAAAAAAACAAAAATTTCTCATCTTTCTTTATCCAATATATTAATAAGACATTAAATAGAATAATAAAAATAATTAAGAAAATTAAATCCGAAAAAAAAAAAATCGCGTATATATATAGATAATATACCGAAAATTAAAAATCATTCCGCTCTAATTGGTTGACCAGAATTTTTGTCGGAACGCACATGATTGTAGAGTATATCTATATATTTGTCATACCTACTATTTTTCTTTCATTCTCCACACAATTTTTTTTTTTCCCCGGTAATAATGACATTAGAACAATATAATGCAAAAAATTCAAAACTACCACCAGGACATGGTCAAATTAAATGTTATGTATCTCCTTCAACGACCAAACCATCGTTCTCCACTTTTCATGCGTCATATCCGATAAAACTTTTAACACCTAAATTACATAGTCCATATTTAGCAGCAGTTTATATCATAACATACGGAGGAGGAATGGTATCAGGGGATTCCGTTTCTCTTTCAGTTGAATCTCATCCAAATGTTAATTTAATGTTATTAACACAAGGTTCAACTAAGATATATAAACAACGTCCGGGAAGAATGTTTGTTAATAACAATATTCAACAAAATGGTGAAGAAGTAATAAAATCTGAGGGAACTCAACAAAAGGTTAATGCTTTTATACATAAAGATTCTTTATTACTTCAACTACCCGAGCCAACAACTTGTTTTCGAGATGCTGATTTTACTCAAAGACAAATATTTACTTTACAAGATAGAACTTCTTCTGTCGTTATACTTGATTGGTTTACTTGTGGTAGAATGTCTCGCGGTGAACGTTGGGATTTTTTAAAGTATAATTCTGGTATTGATTTAATTCTTGGTGATAAATTAATTTTTCGTGATGTAATATTATTAAAAAAGAATCATCATATATTATTGAAAACCCGTTTGGAGCCATATGAATGTTATGCTACTTTAGTTTTATATGGTCCAAAAGTTCTTCCTTTAATTAATTCTATAATGGAAGAATTTAATAAAATCGTTATAGGCAAAATAAGTGTAATGCCTGACTTAATTTGGTCTGCCTCCATTCTTGGTGAGAAACAAGACGTAATAAATGGTGTAGTCGTTAAAATTGCTGGAATAACGACCGAACTTGTAAGAAATTTCTTAATTAAAGTTTCTCTTAAAGGTCTTGAAGATATAGTTGGTGAAAATTTATTTGAACGAGCTTTATAGATTAATTAATCAATTTTATTTATTTATTGAATCTTTTATTAACGTTAATAAAATAATTATTTTTTCTTCTTCAATCCTTCAATTAAATATTAGATTTCGTTTTTGATAATCAAAAAATCAAATAACCTTAAAAAATAAATTTATTAATACTCTTTTGCTAACCCATTACTGTTTGAGAAATGTATCAGAGTCCAAAACCTCATTACGTTTTTTGTAAAAAATTCATTCAATTCAAACTCTTTAATCAAAGTCTGATAATTTAAATAAGTCATGGGTGTAGATTGTCTAGACAAACGGACGAGATGGGTCAAGACATTGAATTAATCTATCGTCACCTTTTTTAATGAGTTTATCCAAAAGGATCGGAATTAAAAATTGTACTGTCCACGAATATCATGTTTCCAAATCTGATATTTCGAATTCATTTTATTTTATACCATTTTCTAGTGTAAATTGTGAAAGTGATATTCGTAATCAGCTTAATATGGATACATTACATATGTTAATGGCGGTTGTATAATGTAAATTTAATGGAATTTAATTTTGAATAGTGCATTACAAATTTGGTATAAAAATTGTAAAAAAGAAAAATTAAATAAATATAATGTTTTGGTTAAATATAAAAATCATATTTATTAAGAACGGAAATTTTGATAAATGGAAAACTTATCGACAAAATTTCTGGTAAATCTGAAATTCTATTTTTAAACCTGGTTTTGTGGAGCCATTGTCTAGATGTTACACAACTTGACTTGTGTAATGTTCCGATCGCGCAATATCCTTATTTTAGAAACAAATTAGCCGCAAAGAAAACTTTAAAAACAATTTACCACGATCATATGTTACTCCACATGACAATTATGGTATGATTAATACACCATCAAATAGTAAGTTAATTAAATGTGATACTACATTATATTTCTCCTTAAAAATGATGAATGATAATGAAATTCAAATTGTTCTTATTTGGTATATGATATCATAGAAAATATAAATTGGAAAAAAATTTTTTTTTTGTGAATTTTCACACTTCTTTTATGAATACTCTTTTAAAAAATAATTATGAGTCAAGAAGAAACGGCAACAACGAATGTTGGTAGTCAAGAGAAAATAGCTTTATCTAGAACTACTACAAGTGAAGGAAAAAATATAAGTTTTAAAATTGATACACCCGATGCTAATGCCGTCATAAAATGTAAAATTTTTTTAAAAAATAAAAAATAATAATAAATATACCTATTAATCTCCTTTTTCGTTTTTAGCCACCACCGAATCATCAGGATATGATCGTTCAGCAAATAATAATGATTTGGAATTATCAACTTATGAAACTCATAGTATTGAAGAAAATGTTGAACCTTGGAAACAAGCTGGTCCTTGGTATCGTGATATTTCTAAAAGAAGATGGTTCGCTTTTATTGTATTTGCGCTTTTGATAATCATTATCATCATTGTTGGTAAGCATTATTTAATAAACATTGATGGAATTTTAATGTTTCGAAATTTATATTTTATCAATTTAACCAATATATTATTTTTTTTTAAAAAAATAAATAGTTCCAGTGGTCGTCTCTAATGCCACGAAATAAGTTTCAAATGAACTTTTCTTATTTTAATTCTAAAAATCCAATTAAAATTTATTATTTATTTTTATTATTTAATTATTATAGCGAAAGGAGGAAATTAGATGTTTGTAATAAAGTATCTCCATTTCCAAAGAATCTTTAAATTATTTTATAGCAATTTATAAATCCTTTCTGAAGACGTTAGTTCTTATTATTCTTTTATGTATTAAAATATATTATTAATGAATTAAAAAACTCTTAAAATATTAAAATATTCATCTGATAGGCATTAAAAAAAAAAAAAATTATTTCAAATCATAATTGATTTATTCGTGTATGTTTAATGAAAACTTTGAGGTGGCTATTATTCAACCGCTAATCTTCACTTTCTATTGTAGAAATATTATATTTGAATATCACTATAGATTTTTTTATGGTTTCATACTCTTTTTTTTATATTTCATAAGCTATTGAAATTTAACTTTTTTAAAGATCTATTTATTTAAATTAATACAGTGCGAATAGTCTTAATTCAACTTTGTTAGATCATGTACGTGAGATATTGACCAGAATTTTACAGATCACATGATATGTTGACATTTATTTTATTCATTATGTATCAGGTACACGACGATGTGATTTATATTTTTTTTGACTACATATTCTGCTAGTATACCAGTAATCCCTTTCTTATAAATATCTATATATCTTCAAAATTTTGTGCATATTTCTAATTGTAATTAATGGAGTAGAATCTAATGCTTTTAATACTATTTTTTGTAAACCTAACCAAGCATAATCGCTTATATATCTTTTGCTACTTTATAATATATTTCAATAAAATTAATTCACAATGATACTTAAAATAAAAAAATACGTTTATGTTCACAACTTTTATTTCTTGTAATTGTGATTTTTGAGCCTTAAAATCTACATATAAAAATAAAATTCTTCACATAACAATCTGTTCTAATTATATCATTAATCTTTAATTATATAATTGACAATAATCAATACTTTTATTAAACTTCTTTTATACTTTTTGATTTATTTGAATAAGTTAGATTATTAGATGAAAAAATCATTGATTAAAAATTTATTTGAACAAAAATAATTGATTTATTAATGCTTACTTTTCTCCTAAATGTTATATTTATATTCTTATATTTAATACATTCTTTATCATTATATTATGATTTGTACTATTATTAAATGCAAAACTATTATAGTATTTAAGTATAATATTTTAAAGATTAGAATACATAATTAATAATTTGGCCTATTAAATATTCAGCTGATTACTAATTTTCTTCATTTTTTTCTGATTTTAAATTACTAGAATCTTATTCAATTAATTTTAATCTACCTATAGTATTAAAAAAAAAAAAAATCACTAATTATGATAGACTTTTTTTATCTATTTTTTCTTAAAAAAGGTTTACTGAGAGAAGTAAGAGAAGTCTAATTAATTAGTTTATTATCATTTGAATAAAATAAGCATTATTATATATAATTAATATATATATAGTAGTGGCAAAAAAAACTGGTAATAAATAAAAATTTATTTATTTGATCAATTTTTATTAAACTTATTTAAAATTTAAAATATAAGTAATCTAATACCCATTTATTATATACTAATTTTTTAATATTAAATTATATTGTTATTCTTTTTAATTACTAAATCTATCCTTCTTTTTATACTTTATTAAATTAAAGTAGAGGTTTTGATTAATATCAACTATTTTCTTTTAATAATTTCTATAAAAATCTTTTAAATAATCAGTTTTTTTATTAATTGTTTATTAATTTTCTTTTTTACTCTTTTCTTGATAATTACCTATAAGTTTTCTATTGAATTTAAAGTCTGAGAAATATAATAATTAATTAAAAACTGTAAGACATTAGTTAAAAGAAAGATATTATAAGCTTAACTTTGTGCTTAAAATAATTATTCTATTAGAATATTTAAAATTCTTTAAAAAACTGATATATTTGATCAAAAAGATTATTTGTTAAAATTTTACAATATAATTTTCTATTCATTTTTTTAGTAAATATGTGAAATCTAATGATTTTTTACAAACAATGCTTCTAAACATAAATTTTAAATAAGTGTTTAATAAATTTACAAGTTTTTCTTCACCTTCTTTATAACAAATTAAGGGATATTATAAAATATTTGAATAATTATTTTATCAAAAAAATCATATTCTCCTAATTTTATTTTAATAAACTTTTACTAAAAAAAATTATTATTCGTTTGCAATTAAAATAAATAATAGATTTTTTAGAAATACAAACTCAGTAACCAAACTTCTAAATATTCTTACAGGCTATATAAATAGTTATATTAAAATTTAGATTAGTATTATTTAATTTTATAATGTTTTATATTAATATAAATTAATATATATATATTATATATATAAATTTATATGATAACGCTAATAATAAGTAAGCTTACTTATTTAAATTTATTTAAATTTGGTAAAACATTTAAATCTTTAAAAATTTTGATATAGTTTTATTATTTTTATTATGTTGATATAAATAAAAATAAAATTAAATGTAAAATTTATAGAAATATAAAAAAGTATTAAATAACTTAAAAATGTGTATATTTTTCATTCTTTGATAACATTAAATATTTTATTTATTCTGCTAATTTAATATATATCTAAAAAATTATTAATAAATTTTATCTATTTAAATCACATAATAAATAATTTAATTATTAATATACCTTGCAGCTTAGTTTGAAAAAACAAAATCAGTAATTACAGCATTATATTTGATATTTTTTTTATCTAAATTATTTAAAAAATTTATTGTAAATTTTTTAATTTTTTTTTATTAAACACAATTTTTATTTATATCTTCATTTCCTATACTAAAACTTGTCCCATCAGATGTAATTAAAACTGATCCCATAATTTCTTATTTTTTAATATTTTACTATCTATTAAAGTATATAATAATCTAAGTTTATCTTTTTGTACAGTATTAATTAAAGCTTTTTTAATATTTTTTGAATTTGAACATAAAATATAACCTGTCAATACTTTTCAACTAGGTAATTTTAATCTAGAATTTGCAAACTTAACATTTTTGACTTGATTAATTTTCAACTTATCTAAATGGCTACTTATTATCTATAATAGAATTCAAATTAAATCTTCTTATTGAAATTTTTCTTGTCTAGAAAGAGAAGTTTATTTGGACATATAATATATAATTTTTTTTATCTTTAGTAGTTAATCTCTCTTTTAAAAAATTAATAGATTCTTCAGCATTAATTTTAAATTCTAAATATAAAATTAAAAATTAATAAATAAGAATTATATTATTTAATTAATGATAAAATTTACAAAAATTATTTATATTAAATGAATGATGTGATAAGAAAAATGAGGAAATAGAAGATTCTTTTTCATAAGTAAAAGAAGATTTCCTTTTAGTTTAATCTTTCTCTTCATATTTTTCAGAAAAAAATATTTATCCCTTTTAACTTCAAAGTACCTTTCCTCAAATTTCTTACATATTTTAAATGAGAAACTACTAGTCTTTTAATATTCGTAATTTTAGTTTTATAATAATAACATAATGCAAAATAATTAAATTTATTTGCTTCTTCATTTAAGATAATAACATATTTAGTATAGGAGTATTTTTGTGATAGCATTTTAAATAAAAAAAATAATGCAAAACAAAAAAAATTAAATTATCATTATTACACAATATAAAAAATGTCAATTACGTTGTTTAATTAAATATCTAATTAGATTTGAATATATGTTCAATTGTCTAATTAGATTATTTAAACATATATAAAATCTAACAATGTTTAATTAACTGATTTTATTCAATTGCCCAATAAAAAATTTGATATAAAAATTCCATAAAAATATAAAGTTTTATAATGTATAATTTTTATGGAATTTTAGTATAATGTATACATTTTTTCCTTAAATAAAACCTTAAACTTAATACAGAAAAGTAGGAAAAAACATATACAAAAATTACAGACAAAATGTATATCTTATAATGCTTTAACAGATACAAAAATTACAGATAAAACAAATATTTTATAATGCTTTAACGGATGCAAAATAATGGATAAAACATATATTTTTATATGTTTTAATTAAGCAATTTAGATTTTATTAATATAATAAAAATTTAAAAATTAAAAAAAAAAAATAAAAATTAAAAAAAATTAAAAAATCAATATTTTTTAAATTTTTCCCTTTTTGCACTTCTTGTTCTTTTCTATAATCTTTCTTTTAATATAAATTAATTAAAATAAATATAAAAAAATGAGTATTATAAATTTGTAAAAAAAAAAAAGATAAATTTTTTACCGTTTTTATTTTCATTAATTGAATCTTCATTTTCTTTTTCTTTAATATTTGTTAATATAAAGTTAATATAAAAATTATCATTTATATAGTGAATTAATAAGAATTTTGTTTTATCTAGATTTTTATCATAAGATAAATTAAATTTTACGTTGAGATTGAAGGTAATACTGAAAGTAGTGCTAGTTTCATTGGCTTCATCATTAGTATTAGCTTCACTTTCATTTTCTTTTTTGTTTTAATATTAATTAAATTTAAGAATTTTTATTATTATGTATTAAAAATAAAAATTTAAAAGTTACCTAAATAATCTCTTGAAAGTCTTGCTTTCTTACTAACATAGAGGTAACACTGGCTTTGGTATTGGCTTTGGCTTTGACATTGGCTTTGGCTTTAACATTGGCTTTGGCTTTAACATTGATATTGGTGCTGGTGCTGATATTGATGCTAGCATTGACGCTAGCATTAACGCTAATATTGGCATTAGTATTAATACTGGCATTAACATTGGCACTGGTATTAGTGCTAACATTGACACTGGTATTGACACTGGCATTGGCATTAGCACTAGCACTGGCATTGGCATTGATACTGGCATTGATACTGGTTCTGACATTAGAGCTGGAGCTGGTATTGGCACTGATATTGACACTGGCATTAGCA